CATGGACTCCCTAAAACGATTTTGTCGGATCGAGATATGAAATTTACTAGCTATTTTTCGAAAACATTATGACTTAAGATGGGGACTAAATTGCAGTTCTCCACCGCCTTCCACCCGCAGACGGATGGTCAAACGAAAGTTGTCAATAGGAGCCTTGGGAACCTTCTTAGGACTTTGGTAGGCGAACACGTTAGAGATTGGGATTCTAAATTGCCTATTGACGAATTTGCTTAATTATAATAATTCAGTTAACCGGACCACATGTATGAGTCCAGCTGAGATTGTATACGGATACCAACCTAGGCAACCAATAGATTTAATTCCCATGAATCAAGCTTAGAGTGTCAGAGTCTGCATCTGCATTTGCATCTCATCTTCAGGAATTGCATAAAGAGATTAATAAATGAATTGCACAAAGTAATGATAAATATAAACTTAATGCTGATCTTAAACGGCGATTCAAGGAGTTTGATGTTGGAGACTATGTCATGATTCGGATTCGTCCGGAACAGTTCCCGCTAGGGACCGTTAAGAAATTACATGCTAAAAGCGCTGGGCCTTTTAAAATAACTTCCAAAATAAACAGTAATGCTTATGTATTAAACCTTCCAGAAGGTTTCAACATGAATCCCACGTTTAACATTGAGGAACTAGTAGCCTTTGATGGACCTGATTTTAACCCAGAAAATCCACTAAATATTGAGCCTTGTGAGATCATACCAAGTGAGATCCCGAGCCTACCTTAACTCCCTAAAATTCCCACATTACCTAATATGGAGAAGATAGAAACCATACTCAGTGATGAAATCATTTCCATCTGGGATGGCGGGCGCCAAAGATACCTAGTTCAATGGAAACGGAAGCCGGAGACAGAAAACACATGGATGGATCGCGAGGAGATATAGAGACTGGACCCTGATCTTCTAGAGCTGTACGAGAGTTCGCAGGACACCTACTCGACGGGGTCGAGCTTTCTCCCACCCGGGGAGAATGATGCGGATATCAGTCAGAGATTTCGACACGTGTACCAACGACGGAGACGTAGATCGATGGCCACGATTCATAGTCTGTACTTTTGATATATTTTGTAATTTTTATTTATGTTATTTCAATTTCCTAGTTTACCCCTGAGGGTAGTGAGTCTCTTTTGTAGCCCCGTGGGCATTTGTGTCTTTTTATATTTTCTTAGACTTGAGGCCCATATATAAGGGTCTCCATGCTTTGTATGATTATTATTGGATGAATGAAAATTTTGTTTTATGATCTCTTAGTGAGTTCTTGAGTGAAATCTCAAGATCTCTTAGTGAGTTCTTGAGGAAGGGATTTTTCTAGTTGGGTTCTCTCATCTCTCCATTATTCTCCTACCCCACCTCCCTTCTCAAGTTCCTCCCAAGCTCCACTGCCCCTTCCCTCTTTCCCCTCCCACAGTTTTCCCCACCTCAGCCCCATCCCGCCGCCCCAACCCAGCCCCCACCAGCCGCCCTACCTCCACCGCAACCCCACCCCTCCTCCCTGCCCTACCGCCGGTTGGAGCCAACCGCCAGCCAGCCGACTCCACCCCGCCACCCCCTTTGGCCATCCAACCTTGCCGACGGCCCCCCTTGATCTCCTCTTTTGAATTTCAAAATTCCCTTGATTAACTCCCTTTCCTAAATGGTATTCCTCTATTTTGGAAGTCAATTAAAGGGAATTAATCCAAATTTGAAATTCAAATCCCTTTCCCTCCCATATTACACCAAATTAGGAAGCTTTCTTAAATTAAAGCAAATATGAATTTAAGTTCAGATTTGATCATAATTTATTTATTCACTAGTGGCCCCACCTAATTAATTCCAAGCCCTCTCTCCTCCCCATATGGCCGGCAACTCCTCCGTTCTTTCTCTCTCCAATTGCCAATAATCACCACCTAATACCTCATTAATGCCTCTCCCTCCCAAATTTTAATTTCAAAACCTGAATTTGAAATTAATTCTTTTTTCTTCTTTCTTATTAGGAATCTGAAATTAAAATTCAGATTTAGTGCTTCCACAAAATAGCCTCACCCTCTCTCCTCTCTCCCTCCCAAACCGTGACCCCATCTCCTCCCAAGCCCACGGCCCAAATCTTTCCCTCACCCCTCTACCGCCGGCTACACCTCCCCTTCCCTTAGCTCTTCATTCTCCCAATTCAATACTATCATGAATGGCGGATCCGAAAATTGATCACGGATTCGTAGAGGATATCAACGGAAGAACCGATATTCTACGCTCCCCTTTCTTTGATCCTTACCCGGGTTGGGATCTCACAACCGACGGCTACCTCAATCGGATCTGATATCAACTAGCACTATCAATTGAAGAGCACCTCCCATCCGGACGTTGGACCATCATAACCAGCTGGCCACTTCCACCACCGCCGCCTCCTTCTCCACCACTATGGATCGTCTGCGCCGTCTACCTTGGAGTGATTTTGTTTCTCGTGTGGTTCTTCTTCCTCCGTCAACCCTAGAAGTAGAAGAGCTACTTTGGACCTCGAGGTGAATCGATCATTTTGTTAATCGTCGGATTCTAGTTGACCTCGAGGTGAATCGATCATTCCATTACTTTTGTTTAAGTTGTTATTTTAAGAACTTGCAAATTTAGTTGTAATTGATTGCCTCAACATCGTTTGCTTCTAAGAGCTTCCTTGAGTCTTCATTTTTGAGACGCCTTAAGATTAACTTTATCATTGTTCAATAGCTTTTATTAATTTCATAAAGCAATTCCTAGATTTACATCAATATTTCATGCCAATGTTGTGGTAATCACGTGGGTCACCAAAAAAAAACAGCACCAAACATGTTGGATAGACCAAGTAAGAAATTTTAAGACTGAATAGATGGAGGATGAGGAACAAAGCATGGTTTAAGTTATTGTCTAGGCTTGATTGTTGAACTTGAATGTATTAAATTAAACTTTGCTGAACCAATTCTTTATTTCCTAATAGATGCTCCCAAGCTCAATTGGCGAGGTTTGCTACTGATGAATCTTCTTTGTCTCTTTCGTCAATTGGTAGTGTTTGGCTTTATATTGGATGCAAACCTAATTAGATAAACCGCATTGTATTTTTTCTATTAGACCGGTCCAACCTAGACCAGCTATATTCTACAGGAGGAAGAACTCCTCTTCCGCCAGAACAGATCCCATCCCCTCTGTGTGGGGTCCAATAGGCGGCATTAAGTGGGATTTAATGAAGTTTAAGAGGGAAAATTCAAAAGAGGTGCTGTTTAGAGATTTCCATGATTGTATGCTCTAAGTAGGATGTTTCCTAGGGTTAGCGTATCAAATGTTTTGCTGATTTTATTTTTCTATGTTGTTTTTGGACTCTAGAGGTATCCAAAGATTTGGGAGAGTCAGATCCTCCTCTCCAATTGAGGATCCATTGTATCTTATTGTTTTCTTCCATCTGTTCTCAGTATAATCGTTTCTCGCTAGTGTTTCCACAAAAATTCTTCTTATTTCTGATTTTGAACCTTACTAAAATTCAAATTCAACCAAGTTAACTTTGATTTCTACAAGTGTATCCTATCAAATTAGTATCAGAGCGCATCGATTCTTGGAACCTATGGTCGGAAGAAAATTAGAAGTTTTGGAAGGGGAGATAGACCAACTGAAATCAGAATTTGGGAAAAAGATTTCGAATTTTAAAAATCAAATTTCATATGTCCATGAAAAGATGGATAGAAAGTTTACCGTGGTGGAAGAAATGCTGAGGAAATTGCTTGAGGCCCAACCCAAAATGTCATCATCAGAATTTTATATAGAATATTCAAATAGAAAATAATCATAATAATTTTTAAAATTATTAAACTTATAATTATTTGTATATTTATAATTATTCAAATAAAAATAATTATTTATGATTTTTAAAGTTCTAAAACTTCTCTCTAAATGTGAAATTAAATACTATTAAGAAAAATAAAAAATATAAAAAAATAGTATTATATGACTTTATAAATATAGTTTTATAATGTGAAATATATATATGTAATTTATAAATGTAAATTATACCTAAATATATAACATAAATTAGTAATTGTTTACATTAAATTTATATAATTATATATAAACTGAATTTTTATTAAATATAAATTGAAATCGAAGATTGGAGATATTTATATTTAATTTTAAAATTATGTAATATATTATACATGTATGAATTTTATTTAATTTTTAGTCTCAAAATTCTTAGAAGTATGAAATTTTTAAGATTAAATTGACATAATTATTATGTTAATTTTAATAATGTTTGATAATATTATTATTTATTACGTCATCCGATTCGACCCCGGTTCAACCGATCGAACCGTGAATCTCTCCTTCTTCCAGTTCGTTGACCGATCCGATTTTCACAACCTTGATAAATACTCATTCTCCATTGTTTCATATTGAGTGCCACTTTTGGTATTACTTCTATTTCCACACTTTCTACCGCACTTCTTTAATCCACATTACCTTGGGTCTAATATTTTTTCTTCATAATCCTTCAACGTCAATTTTATCTGACCACACTATTAGTGCATCTTCTAACCTCCAATAGGCGTGCGCAAACTACATGTGTTTTCACTAAGTTATCATCAATAACTAACATTTTCATAATCTCTTCTAATCCTCTTCAATATAACTTTACTAGTTTTGCCATGCATCCGATTTAAAGTTCTCATGCTCAACAAGTTCAAGAATCTATTAAACAAAACCTACATAACCAAAAATTATTAAATTTCAGACAATTTTGTTTGTAAGACCAAAATCTTACATATCCACAAATAAAACACCAAAGTGCATCAATTTACAATAATATCACCCAAATCTTGAAAAGCAAAACAAGAAAACTACCTTTCATTCTCAAAAATTTATTAAATTCCTAATTATTTGGTTATATCAAACTAAAATACATGGGTTTGCTAATTCTTTTTTTAATGCTTAGGTATTAGTTTATAAATATGAAAGATTTTGATGGCACGCGCACATGCTAACACATACCACATCAATACTCTGATATATCAGAAAGACGATCCCCAAATTTACAATGTAGAGAATGCCAAATAAAATCTGCAAGGACAAGAAAAGAACTTGTGGTAAAAATTTAGGAAGTAATAATCAATAATTTTATTCACAAAAACAAAAAAAAAAACAAAAACTGCATTGGGTTCTTGAAATCAAAGTTAGATCCAATGTATTGATAACTTGTAGTCATGCAAAACTAAAAAAATAAAGACGCATCATAAGAATTTTATCATGCTCTAAGAGAAGCTCTGCACAACTCTTTTGCATTATTATTTTCAATTAAGAAGCATGCATTCCAAAATATTCAAGATATAGCTCAGTCTGCTATCATGCAAAGCTACACTTGGTGCGACAGAAGGGACTCCCCTTTAAGTATACCACCATGCCTAGTTCATTATATTCTCTCCATGAGTAATGCAATTGCAAATTGTTTAAGTCTATTTTTATCATCTTATTTTCAATATGTGAAACACCATCTCTCTAAGATAAAATCATATTTATCAATCTATCCATCCAAGTTTTATCACATGTCAAACATAAAAATCTCTATCTTTAGCTATGTCTCTCAAGTTGTATAAGACATATTTATAGTAATTTGGCTAACAAAAACAATGCAAACCATGGAATCATAGTGCATTATGCAGAAAGTTTGTTTATTTCAAACTATATGGAGTATGGTCCATTGGTCATTGTATTCCAGAGCAAATAAAAAATTCTTAATTCAAAAGCTCCCCAAAATAGATTGCACAAGCAAAAAAAAAAGCAGAATAGAGCATCATAGATATCACCCAAAAAAATATGAAACAAACAAACAATTCAAATAACAATGAAAAGGAAGTATTAGTTGATCTTCGCTGAGGTGAAATTCAACAAGACTTTGGCCAAGAGGAGAATCAGAATCAACTCTAAAAGGAGCAGCTAACTATACAACAAACAGCAAAAAACATTATACAACAGAATTGTAATGTTACCTGTGCAGGAAGGACCTGACCACCAGTAAGAAACTTTATTGCAGAATACACATAAAGAAATCCAGCAGGATAAACCAAGGGTCCTGTATCTCCCTTCAGATTGCTGTAGTCCCTCTCTCCACCCAGGAATCCATCAACCTGTCCTTGACACCAATAGAAACACATCCAAAAATGAACAACTAACGTAATTATTTAAAAAACCCCTATCATCAAAGTTTTAAGAATCTTATAGCATTTCAATACCTGTGACATATAGGCATCCCAATCAATCTTAGTATCTGAAACAGAAAAAAGGAACCCGAAGTTCAGTAAGAACATGATAATTACCTAGCAAGTAAACCTACTTAACACATACTGAAAAGGCTTCATTGTCTTACATGGGACGAAGTAGATGATTAATGCGACTAAGATGACTTCGGCGACGAGTAAGGCGGATGTCAAGGCTGCTGATTTAGAGATCCAGTAGTCTTTACTATATTTAGCTGACGATTTAGTCCCAAAATACAAGCCTCTCGCCATATATCAATGCAGTGACGTTTCCTACTCCCAAAAGCCGAATTTTCGCAAAAGCTATAAGCGATCCAGAACTATATTCTCCTAATAATTTATATAACAAATCAAACAGATGATTTTCTCTATCAACAAAGAAATTGAGATGGTGACGACGAGAAGTCAACGACGTGACTACAAAACTCTGGAAGACGATATCGCCCGATCTCGCATGAGCATCCTAGATATATTCGCACTTCGGCTAGAGCGCCGATGACTCAATTACCCCGATCAATTTCTTGGATATTTGAGCGCGAGATGCTGCTCCGTTAACCTAAGGGGTGTTTGGTATGGGATTGGATTAACTTTAATGGGATTGAAATCATTGGATTAAATCCCGTAAATTCTTATTTAGTAAATTCTGATACTTATAAATTCTGAAAAGTGTATGATACGATCAATGTTAAATTCTATTAAATTTTGATAAGTTGTTTGGTGACAGATTATAGAATTTAAAATAGTTGAAGATTTAAAATAGAAAGAGTAATACTAAATTACATCAATATGTTGATTATAAATTTGAGATAAATCTATACCAAATAATAAACTCAACATAACATCATACAATAGAAACTAGTAAAATGAGAAATGGTACATGACACCATGAATAATTTTTTTTGGACACCGATTGACTACTAAGTGATAGTACACTGCATCATGATAAAGAAGTTGATATTTCATGCATTGGAGAGTAACTTCCTCATGACGATCGATTTCTTTGACAAATTATTTGAACTAAAAAAAAAATCATGAAATAACTAAAAAATGTATTCAAATGTGAAATATTATAAATGCATATAGAAATTCTTACCCGAGCATTCCACATATTTGTTGTGATGGCATACATTATTGCTTCTCCTTAAATTCTTTCTCCTATTGTATATGCAAATTAGGATCTTAATCTGACATTTCAACTTCGTCACGTTCAGTATCATGCTTTATTTTCATCTGTGATATATTGAAATACATATCATGTTCATAATATTAACCTATAAAGTTGTGTAAAATTGCACATGCAATAAACAAATCAGCTTTAGCACTAATATGAAACATTCTCAGGTGTGTCACCACTTGAAAATATTCCTTTCAAATTAAGGTCATCTTTGTCATATTTCGCAATTGGGCATGTCAGTGATTAAATAATTTTTACTGATTTGTATATCTTCTAGATGTACTTCCTCGATGGTCAGCTAGGTGATATTGATATCCTCGAAAAGGTGCAATCAACTTATCAGTGTTTGCATAAACTGAATCAACCGGGTAATAATGATTGTGGGGCACTCCAAACTGATATTTCTCCACAACCCATCTTAGCACACCCATATCCACATCTAAACCTTCCCACCCATATGCTACATACACAAACTATTTATCAAATGACACTGCAGTCATTACATTTTGTTAAGTTAAGCTTTTTCAGTTATGATAACAATTATGTAAGTTGTTACTAACTGCTGCAGGAATATGAGTGCGGTCAATTGCACTAAATGCATTCATGAAGTAAGGGTAAAACATTGCATTTGAACGTACATATGGATGACATTTTGCATCTCCCTGTGGTAAATTAATAAATTCAGCTGTGAATGATACAATAGCACGTATAACCATATTGAAGTACTTGATAATTATTTATAATGAATGCTGGAAGAACTCACACAATTAGCGGTAATTATGAGCATGTGCAACTCCTAGCAAGAATATACATAATTGCTCAGCTACAAGCATATTATTTATTTCACGCAAATGTCCACAGCTTACTAGTAGACATCTAAGGCTTACGAAGGCATCTGGTGGTAACATAAAGCATTGGTACGCTCTGTCTGGATGGCCAGCAAGGACATCAAGCACATATCGATGTCCAATATATGTACTATCAAACATTAGACGCCTAATTGGTAGTTCATCATCCGTGGAATAATTTTCTTAAAGAATAGATGGAGTGATCTTAGTAATAGCACCATCAACTTGAAGCTGTAAGTCTATCATGTCAAATAAAACATCAAGGAGTACTCCTCACAAGTAATTAGACATGATTGCATAATTACAGATATTTGAATTCATTAATAAATTTAAATTGGAACGACATAAATAATAACGCTTTAACAAAATAAAGCAAACTAAAACATACAACATAAAATAAACTATGTGAAGCAAAACAACTTAAATCAAACCTGCTTCAAGCAAACTCATACCGTTGTCGATAACCCAAATTTAGAAATAGTATGATAAGCTAAGCAAACTATAACCAAGCTTTTGTCACGTAAAAACATGGATGCGTGCTAACAACATATTATATCCATTCGACAAGAGCATTCCCTTCCCAAATCATGAGTATTGCTTTGTTATCATTATTTTCTTTAAGTGCGTCCTAAACAGTTAGGAGAGCTTGTGTTGTCAAGTTCTTTAATTGTCCTAACTTTGCCAAACAATCTGTCATGGTGTACAGATCATTGTGTTGAATTGTTTCTTTAAATAAAATTGCATTTTTATTTAACTCAACTAATAAGTGATTCAAATTTTATAAGTCTCTCTTCTTCTTGGGACATCTTGCTGACCTGGTTAATTTTTCACTATATCTTTTTAAACATAGCATATGACTTCCATTTATATCCACACTTGATGGTTCATCATCTACAACATCAGCTAGATTGTAGTAGGGAGTTCCTTTCATTTCAGAACTCACACCATTAGCAACTAGGAACTCATCTTCAAAGTGTGGGGTTTCATCATCGTCAAAGTTTATCATGGGTTGGGTCACCTTACTAGATATTGTACCAATTCATATTGCAATGTTCTCAACACAAATCTTCTTGAAAATGTTATATTGAGGAAAGTGTTGTCTTTGAAATCGAGTTAGCTTTTGGTTAATCTACAATTATAAATTTGGTTAAGTTAGGAATATGAAATTTCTAATTTACGTATATTATTAAATAGAAAAAAATAATGCTTGACCAATTTCCTCTCACAACTCATTTGTCGCTACAGGGATGTGTAACTCCTCATCCCAACCCAAACTACTATGATTTGTTAGTTGATAAAGTGTTCTAAAGTCAACTTTCATTCTTTTAAATCACATCATTACGAAAGATTTTGTATAGTTTGAGCCTATATAACGATATAACACAACCACTAAGCTTGCCCATTGTTCCTTGTGCATATTCCCATTAACATATTGTTCTAATAGCAGCTCTCATAGTACGACGTTATAATCTTCTAGACACTTAGGATTTCGAGTTGTGCTTTTAGTTTGGCTAGAGTAAATAGATATGTCATCACCATCACGATGTGGGTTACTAGAGTTAGCATGTCCAATACCTTTGCCTTCTAGAAAATTTTTGCATTTATGTTAAACATTAACGATAAAATTATTTCTATGAAGTTTAAAATATGTCAAACCAAGTGCATTAATTTTTAACTTTCTTTTAAGAACTTTTACCAACCTTATATAGATAGATATCATTTGATGACTCGTTGTTGCTCACACATGCTACATGCATATCGATAAAACCTACATTTATATTACAAGAACACTCATTTATTCACACAGTGATATGGCATATGATCAAGAAAACACTCAATTAACCACATAAAAAGTCAATAAAAAAATTATCCTAAGCCAAAAAAACTTAATCCTATGCCAAAAAATTAATAAGCAATTGCGAGCAAATGAGAGAGTTTTCCACTGGAATAAAAAAAAAACTGAAATAAAGGGCCATCATAGAGAGGCATTGCAAAACCAAATTAAAAAAGCTCTTAAAGCCCAAAAAAAGTTTATTAATGTAAGAAAAACCAATGAGCCTTCAATTTAAATCGTCTAACTCAACCCAAAAAAATAGTTGTTACAACAAAAAATTCACGAGCTAAACCAAGTATTTAGTTGCTTGATTTACCCCACCCTTAAACATGCATTTGAACATGCTTATATAAAGCAAGAAAGCAAGAATTCTAGCAAGACTCATAAAATGTCCTTCAACTTAAAATTATATTATTAATCAATTGAATAGTAAATAAACATGAGGGAAGATAAAAGAAGTTACTAAAAAATATACATAACAATTGGATATAATGGTGAATATTTTCATACTACATATCATAAAATTATGATATCAAATTATGAAAACAAGTGGCAGCATAGTACCAAGAGCTTAGTTTACCATTATTTTAGGTATCGTTGAGCACAAGAATATGAAAAAAAAAAAAAAACTTTCGGTGGTCGGGGCTACATGCGCGACATTTAGAGGGATCCAATGAGAATGCTTTCGAAGTGGGTAGGGCATGGAATGAGGGTGAAGCTGCATCTTCCATCCATATAAGGAGTTTGCACGAGCTTCGAGACACGGGTGCCATGGGAGAGAACTTTGAGCAACCATAAATTGTGTTAAATCTGTTGAAGCATGGGATTAGAATTTATCTGGATTTATCGGGATTTATGTCGTAAATTCGTAAATCCCAGATTTGTGGATTTGCGGGATTTATAGTCACGAGGAAACACATTTTGCTAGATTCATGTTAAATCTTACTTAAAACTGATGCCAAATCCGATGCCAAACACCCCCTAAGTCAGCCGACTAAGCATGGGACATTTATATTTTTGTGGGCTTAAAAATGATAAAACTATATGGTATTTTACAAAGAATTATGATATATTATTATAAATGTTTTAATTTTTTTCAAATTATCACATAATTATTTTATTTTATTTTTTGAGTGTTAAAATTTTGGGGAGACAAAAATCAATTTTTATGTATTAGCTTGCATGAAAATTCAACACAAAGATTTTTATTTACATGAAACAAAATGAATGCAAGATTTAGCCCAAATAATATTTATTATCTTGAATTTAAATTTACATAAGTTCAACCTTTTATGCAATCGAAGAATAAGGGAGTGTACTATTAAAAACTACATAGTTGGGAGTGTATTCTAAAATGGTGGTTGAGGGTGTTGGAGATGATAATGTTAATGAAGGATAACAAACATTAGTTGTCAATATTAATAAAGGGCAACAATGATAATAGTAAAATGCTTATAATGTCAATCAACTATGGATGTTGAGTGATGTTGGGTAACATGCGACCATTGTTGTGTCTTGAAGGGAGTTTATGTGTGAAATACCTTAAGAAAATAAAGTTAAATTTTTAAACATCGATGTATCTTTTTATGTGACACTTGATCCTGATATAAGTATTTTATGACGGGTGTTAAAAAGAGAGAGGTTTGTTCAGATTCTCCCTATCTATTACACTCTAGATTGACTTTAGGGGTTCAAAATGGAATTTGACAGGGAGATCACACGCCATCCTATTCAAAAAATATGAGAAGATACATGAAGTCCTGGTGCTTTCAAGTCTTCATCCAAAATTCCTCCAGAAGATAAAAAAGTTGTTTCTTCTTCCTCAAAGAAAATAAAAATAGATGACAAAGTGATTGCCAGGGTACAATGATATTTGTAGAGAAACTATACGTCCCTTGATGATCGATATTATTCATTTTGATTCAGATAGTGGGAGTCGACCCTTGAAGTTACCCATTCTTAAAAAGATATCGAAACATGTTTGCATCAAAGCGGTATCATGCTAATGAAATTGTGAGTTATCTTAATCTTCTTCTTTTCTCCTTTTTCATCATATTTATTAGCATACTTTTGTTTTTACCACAGATGATCCAAAAGGAAAACTTGGAATCCTGATTTGAATCAGTACTGGATGATTGAAATGTTGAAATTGTCAAAATTAAATATATAAAATGAGACTATGAGCGAATATTGAAGATGAATATTGAAGAAACATCGGGCTTGGAGAGCCATTTGGAGGAATAGAGAGCTGAGCTAGCGAGGATGTCCATCTCTCATTCTCTTCAAAATTGATAAGTTGATCTTTCGTGTCATGAGCTGATTGAAGCTTGTGCAAAAAAAATTTAACACAAAAAACTTTGAAGACTATTGCAGTAGAGAAGAGCATCGTTTAGGCTAACAAAGAAAATTTGAAGAAAGAGAATAAAAATTTACAATATCGCCTTTCAAAGAGGGAGATATCCATATCATATATAGAAGCTCGTATTAAAGCCATATCATTAAAGGCTATTAAAAAATTCAAGAAGCCTTCAGCTTACATTCGAGAAATCCAATATCACGTTAGAAAAGCTTATGATAAATTAGTTGACGTTAAGTGAAAGATCTAGAACATCAAAGTCTTGTGGAAGGTTTTGCTTGTGGTTTCCTGAAAGGAGTTCACTTGGTATAGTACACGACTAAGGTTTCTATTGAAGGGCTGACCCCTAAACAGACATCCAAGGATTCTCCTTCATATTTTTGTGATGATGGCCTTGAGAGTGATATGAGAAAAACAACTTCAAGTGATATTGAAGAAGTTGAGATTATAATTTTTTTGTTACGGAATACTTTTGATCATCTCTTATTATCTTAAAGATTTTTTTATGAGAATGATATATTCTTAAAGTATTGAATACTTATCTTTATATATGAACTCATTTCAAAGTTCTTTATGCATTGCTTAGATATGTTTTTTAATTTATTGTTTTAGAGAAATTTATTAAGCATTTAGCCTTATATGATTATGATATGTAAATCTTATGAAGCTTTTTAGCCTTATTAGATTTTTTCGATATTTGTACCTTTTGAGAATTTTAGTATTCTAAGATTTTTAAATGTACCTATACCTTTTGATACTTTAGCCTTTGAAGGTATTTAATATGCTGCGTCTTTTGAGACTTTTAACTTTCGAAGGTCTTTGAATGATGAGTGGTGATCACGTTAACCACTTACTTTCATGTAGTTTTTCTAGTGGGGACCATGTCAGCTACTAGCTCCCTTTGAGGCTACCTCATAGGCAGGCCTTCATGAGGTTATTTGATAAAGCATCTCTCACTTGTATTAAAAATATAAAGAAAATTCACAAAAGATATTTGATCTATTCAAGATTATTTTTTAGAGCTTGATCGATGACATTAACATGTGTAAAAGTGGTCAAAAGTATCCACCAAGGATATTTGATCTATCCATAGTTATTTGTTAGAGCGTTGCTCGATGATGTAAACCTATGTGGGAGAGATTGGAAGAATCCACCATGGATGTTTGAACTATCAAATACTATTTGTCAGAATATTGCTCGATGATGTTAATATGTGTGGAAGAGGCTAATTGAAACCTCTGATTGTTATTGACATTGAATATGGTGGGGGGGGGGGGGGTGGGGGGTAATTGTTGTGTGTTTATTAAATGTGTAGATTAGATATTTTGTTTTATAATGTTATTGCCTTTTCGAGGTCAAAATTGAGACCGTGCCCAAGAAGTCTAGCTAGGGACTGCATAGAGCTTGAAATTTACTTGAAGAATCATTGCATTTGTTGGGAGCTTTATGAAAAATGATTGTCAATAACATTGTCTTGGACATTGAAAATATTGGAGGAAATTTCCTTAACTGCAATCACATTAGAAGTTGCAGCTAAGGTTACCCCTAGTCCAAATTTTATTCCATGAAATTGATGCAACATTGATTGATGCTTGAGGGGTGATAGAAAATTGCATAAGATTGCCCCCCCAGCTAGGAATTATTTCCTACAGACGGCCTAAACTGTTACGACCAGGAATATTCATGACGATAGAGATATATAAAGTTTAGCGTCCTAGCTTTGTACGAAGATACATCACATAAATAAAAAAAAAGAGTGGGGTGTGATATTCATAAGACACACAAATATTTTTATGTGAGAAATCCTAAAAAGGGAAACAATAATGAGGCTTGACTAAGTTTGAATGATTATACTAGTGTTGATGGTTGATTACAATTAATATCCCTCCTTAGAGGAGAGTACTAAGTCAATATAGCAAATACACATTGTATAGAGTGCATTGCATGACATCACTTCTTAAGAAAGTGTTCAATTATTTATTTGGTAAGTATGGTCGTAGTCGACAGGCAATAGTGGTCAGAAAGACCATAGTCAACGTGTAATGGTGGTCAAAATGACTATAGTCGAAGGGAGAAGATGGTCATAAGGTCCATAGTGGGTAGGTGACGGTGATAAGAAGGATCGTAGTCAACGGGCGATGGTTGTCGGAAGAATTGCAGTCGGCGGGCTACGATGATCAGAAGGATTGTAGCCGGCAGGCGTTAGAAGGACTGTAGTTGATGGACGATGGCGATAAGAAGAACCGTAGTTTGCGGGTGACAATATTTGGGAGGAGATCTAGTGTTGGTAGCATCCGGGGCAAGTTCTAGCAATAGTTGGAGAACGAGCGAAAGTCTAGTTACAATCGGTGGTCAGAAAGAACTCTTACAATAACAATGTTAAATTGAGAATGAAAAAAGCTCTCGAGTTTTCTCTCACCTTATCCTTCTCCATGTGAAGAATGGATGACTATTTATAATTTTTTGGGAGTGACGCCTATATATTATGGAGAAAATCAAGGGCATGTTGGGCGTGTTTTATTGGATGGCTAAAATTAGTTTTATTGATTATAAATCATTTATTGAGCATTTGAGTGTTTTAATGATGTTAGAATTGAGTGATATTGGGCTCGTTGGATTTGTCTCTCTGAGCCGCTCGATTCAACTATAATTGTGTCATGTTTGAATATCAATTGGTCATTTAGTTAATGCTTTGAAGCTTCCAAGAATGCTTTAATCTTTTGATTTTAGGCTCGTTTGGGCTCAAATTAGAATGAATTTGGTATCATTAAGTTCATTTCGTTGGTATGTTTAATTTGACTATAAGTTTGATGATTCTAAATTTAATTTTCAAAGTTACAGATTCATATTTGCATCGAGATTCATGCCCGATCAAGATAATTTTTGGTGATATATCAATAGTAGACAAACAAAAAATCTAATAGTTTGATTATTATTTGGAGCATATGTTTTGTATATATATATTGAAATGTTAGATTTCAGAACATAAATTTTATGTAAGTGATAACAGATTCAAGAACTACAATAACAATATTCAAATATTTTCCTTCTAAATTAGGTAGCACTAGGAATTGATAATGATTAGGTGCAAGCTTGAACTTTTTTTTTTTGCTTCACGGGACAATTCACAGCCAAAATTTTTTTTAATTCAATGTCAAATTTGAAAAAGTATATGATAAATTTTAGGGTTTTCTAAAAAATGTAGATGAACTTTATATTTTTTTTACCAAAAAAAAAAAAAAAACTTTCTATTTTTTTTGATAAAAATTAAATTAGTTTTTCATAAAATATGAGTTTTATAAAATAAGTTATCTAAATACACATTAATAAAATAATAATAATAAAAAACAGAAAAAAAAAATGGTTGCGCAAAATTTACAGAAAACTGCCGCGACCAGGCGGGCTTCAAAGACTCCGGGCCACTCGCAGATCTCCGATAAAATTGGTCTCCTAACCTTCAAAACGCCCAAAGAAACCCTAGCTTCCCTCTCTTACCATTAATGCCTATCCCCATCTCCTCCTCTTTCTCTGCACCACATATAAATCCACCCTCCTTCAATGTCCGTCACCTCCTCGTCCGACGACGCCGACGATTGCACCACCGACTCGAACCTCGAACGCGTCGAAATCGTCCTCCCCAGCGGCGACTTCTATACCGGCCAATGGTCTGATGGCGTCCCCCATGGCCTCGGAAAGTACCTCTGGACCGACGGATGTATGTACGAAGGTGAGTGGTGGCACGGGCGCACCATGGGCCGCGGCAAATTCTCATGGCCGTCCGGCGCCACCTATGAAGGCTTGTTCAAATCCGGGTTCATGGACGGTTATGGTACGTACACTGGTGCCTGTGGCCAGACTTACCGCGGCTCTTGGTCGCTTAATCTTAAACACGGTCAAGGTCACATATCGTTTGCGAATGGAGATTCGTATGATGGGGAGTGGCGTGCGGGGGTACAGGAAGGGAGGGGAAGATATGTTTGGAAATCGGGGAGTGAATATGTTGGAACTTGGCATGGTGGAACATTTCATGGAGTAGGATTGCTTACTTGGACGTCGGGGAATCAGTATGATGGCCTATGGGAGGATGGTGCTCCTCATGGAAGAGGCAACTTCAGGTAAAGAACTTAGTTCAAGTGTCTTTTTAGATTTTGAATGATTTCAGGGGAAACGAGAGGATTTCTTTCAACTTTCGGTCAAAAATCAATAGTTATCACCCAAAATTTACAATTTTTGATTGAAACTTAGCTGAAACTTTCGAGCATAAGCGAAGTTTTTTTAGAATATTGTCACGGTGGTCCTACTAGATTTTATATGGTATAATTTGGGCCCCAATTAGATATGTTTTTGCATATATTACATATTATTAAAATATATAATAATAAAGAATAAGTGAAATTAAAACTAAAATTGAATTGCAAAATCAAAGAAACAATTGAAATAAAAACTGTTGTGACATCTAAACCGAAATTTATTTTTAATACCTTGAGTCACATTAAAGAATTGACGATGAGTACTCTGCAATTCTTCATAAAGGACAAGACCATTTATATGAACTATAATATGCTTATATAAAATTGCAAAATAATTCTTTGTTCCATATAAGCTAGAAGTTGATTCTATAAAAATTAAAATATAAGTTTTCTTGCATTATAAGACAACACTTAAATTATTATTTTTTTGTAAGAAAAAATTGACCCTCTTGTTAATTATGGAGAATTATCATATTTTTTGTGAATATTTGTATTGTATTTTTTATCATTATTTCTATGAAGAAAAAATTATATATGTATGATCCAATGAGTAACAAGAGATAGTAAAAGATAAAAAAGTTTGATGGTTGTTACTATTACATTATTATTTTTCCATTTCTCTATCTCTTTCTTGTTGCAGGAGAAAGTGTATTGTGTAGCACTTCATAAATATTTGTTCTTGAGGTATTGAGTCAATTCAGACCGTCCAAATGTGAGGGAGTGGTAGAGTTGTTATTTTGAAGAACAATTCAAATGTTTTTTTTAATATTGAGGGAGTTTAAATTTGCATAATTACTCAATACTCTTTTATAATGATTAGATTCTCTATAACTATCATAATGAATTTACCTTGTGTAGTGACCCATCCATGTCAACTAATGTATTTTGGATGATTGAGATTAATACTATCCAAAGTTTTAAAATTATTCTAGTTTTGAAAAAAAGTTAATCTTAAACATTCAAAGTGGATTCGATAATTAGAATGGATAATTGCACTATGGTAAATAAAGAGTATTTGAATCCCTTTTACAATAACTACTAATTTATTTATTTTTCTCTTTAGGTGGGCTGATGGAAGTTTTTATATTGGGATATGGACTGGCATTGGTGTTGGGCAGCAGAAGGGAGTTTACTTCCCCTCATTGTCAGTATCCACTCCAGTGGCCCGTGATCCTCGTGAGGCGATTGCCAATGAACTTGTCGAGTGTCATATTTCTCCAGTTGAAACAATTTCAATCCTCCCCTCTGAGAAGACACTCAACTGGATAGGGGTTGAGGCAGATTTCTTACAAAGGCAGGCATTATGGAGATCAACGATGCCCATTAAGGTGATGCCAGGGCAGTATGGATCAGTAGATGCGTCCACAACAACTATGATGACGAGACAATCAGATGGATATGCGATGATAAATAGGATGACAGGGTTTGATAGGATGCTACTTTGGGAATCTGATGATGATGGGAATGAGAGGATCATACCAACAAGACAATGTGAAGGAAAGGAGTTTTTATCAGATGCAAATAAGATGATGAGCAGAGGTGGAGAGACATCAGTGGCATCGAGAACGAATAAAATTCCTCAGAGGATTAGGTGGGTTGCTAAGGATATGAAGAAACAAGGGGAAACTATCTCGAGAGGGCACAAGAATTATGAGCTCATGCTCAATCTTCAGTTAGGGATCAGGTACGCTTCATAGAGTGATGTTTCATTTTTCAAATAGATTTATAATTAAAATAAAGCTACATTAATTGCCATTAATTGATTTTTAAATTATCTTTCTAAAATTTTTAAATAGGTAGATGATTTATTAAAACATATAAAGACTTGTTGAATATAAAATTTTATTAGATATATTATTTGTTCTCAAACTAAGATATTTTATCCAAATATATCTGTTTTAATCCATCCTTACTTGTATTTGATGCGAGATCTTTTTGCTCATGTACAAGATATTTTATAAGGTGTTTGATATCGTCATTAGATTTTTTATTTTATTTTAATTATGAATATTTTTTTATATCATTAATTGCTGTTCTAATACTTCATGATGGAGAGTATTTATAAAATTACAAGGATTCCTATGACCCATTAGCCACCTATTAACTACCTAATGCCCATAACTTACGTATGGAGTATCATACCCAGAATAACCTACTAACCCAATCATAAAGAATCTATTATTATTATTGACCCTATTAATTTATTTTGGGAGTATAACATTCATCTAGTTGTTATATATCAGTTTGACACGAGAACAATGGTACCTAATTTTGGAGCCTAGCTTTGATGCTTGTGTTTGTCGATGAAACAGAGTGTTACGGAACCGGCCTAGGAGGGGCCGGCTGAATCGGTCTAGTTGGGACTGGTTCAAGTGTATCGCAGGCAGACTCCAAGCGGGCGGAACCTGGAAGGGGGTGGGGGTCTCATGGGGCACAATTACTATTTTTAAACAGTAATTAGGAGAGAAATTTGAATGAGATCTAGGGTGTGATTTGGGGCTCTAAGCTTTGGCAGAGATTGTGGAGAGTTTTCCTTCCTCTCGAATTGAAGGAAATTGTATCTTGTTTTGTTTCTTCTTGTTGCTATTTGAATCAAAGAGTTTTCTTAATTGGTGTTTCTTCTCTCACTACGAAGGTTCTTGCATTGTTCTTGCTGATTTCTCCTTGAAATCAACCATTTTTCTCACTGTTTTTGTCGATTCTTGGTTGATTTGCTTTCGAATTCAAGTATTACCCTTGTGGTTACTTGCGAACTTAAGTACATCCAATCACCGAGTTTCAACCTAGAGGTCAATTTTTCATAATATTGATGCAATGCTGCCAAAAATATTATTCACAGAAAATTGAGGCATGAACTAAGTTTGAGATGATAATTCAATCAGTTGAGCTTTGATGTTTGAACATTGATTATTTTGTATTTTTTTCTGAGATTGTTATAATTTTATAACTTGCTTTGTTCTTTGATATGTGGACATAGATATGCTGTTGGTAAGCAAGCTATTGATACCTCACTTGATTTGAAAGCTGCGGCGTTTGATCCGAAGGAAAAGGTTTGGACAAGATTTCCACCTGAAGGATCGAAACACACACCTCCTCACCAATGCTGTGACTTTCGGTGGAAAGATTATTGCCCTTTGGTTTTCAGGTCAGGATATATTAATTTGTTTTTCTTTGAACAAATTTTGCTAAAGAGTATCAATTGTTAATGCTGAATATGCTCCATTATCTCTTGGTTGTTCAGGACCCTTCGCAAACTCTTTAATCTTGACCCTGGTGATTATATGATCTCTATTTGTGGGAATGATGCCCTAAGGGAATTATCTTCCCCTGGTAAAAGTGGAAGTTTCTTTTACTTGACCAATGATGATAAATACATGATCAAGACAATGAAGAAGTCTGAAGTTAAGGTTAGCTCATTTTTCCCTTCCCTCAACCACCTATCTTTTCACGTGAAGGCATTTCTTTTACTGCTTAATTAAATCAATTTATGGTCCACAGGTTCTCCTCAGAATGCTTCCCGCTTATTATAACCATGTTCGTACATTTGAGAATACTCTAGTGACCAAGTTCTTTGGTCTACACTGTGTCAAGTTAACTGGCGCCATTCAAAAAAAGGTAGGGGCTAAATAAAAATGCTATATTTGATAAGCCATACCACATTTGTGTGTCTACAATTACAAAACTTGTGATGAATCTTAGTGCTTTATACCTTATTAATGTACCACGTGATTAGGTTCGCTTTATTATAATGGGAAACCTCTTCTGCACTGAGTACTCCATTCATAAGAGATTTGATTTGAAAGGATCCTCCTTAGGGCGCACAATTGATAAGCCAGAGGAAGAAATTGATGAGGCGACAATATTAAAAGATCTAGATCTTAACTTTATCTTTCGCTTGCAACGATCGTGGTTTCAGGAGTTCTGCAGGTAGCCAAATATTGAATATAACATCCTTTCATTGTTCCCAAGAAATTTCTTTCTCATTCTCGACTTGAATATTGTATGATTTTTTTCTAAGTCTTACTAAGAATATAATTGACATTGGTTTTTATTCTTCGTATGTCTTTTTGGTAGGCAATTAGCTAGAGACTGTGACTTCCTTGAGCAGGAAAGGATCATGGACTACAGTCTTTTAATCGGTGTGCACTTTAGAGATGTATCAATATCTCAAGGTGCGCAGTGCCATCTTCATAGGGTTAATTTGAATTTGAATAATTTATATTCATTTTACTAGTAAATTTTATGATTTTCTGTAATTTGTTTCACCTTGTTTGTAGAAACTCAAGAGAGCAAGAAAGAAGCAACACCTAGACTTTCAAAAATTGACATGGATCAGTTTCTTTGTGATCCAACTCGGTACACTCCTATAACTGAAGCTCAATTTTCATTAATTTCATTAGACTGTAGTTTTGATCATTTCTTTTCACATATAACAAAAATTTTGCATAAACTTTTCTATGAATAATGTTGAAAAACATAGGAGAAGAATAGTTCATTTCTCATATTTCAATGAATAGAAAAAGGTATAATATTATACTAAATTGTAAGTCTAAAATAGAAAGAAAGCTAAGGAATAAAATTAGCTCATAAACATCCCAATATATAGGGAAAATTATGTGTCAAATTAACATAATTATATGTAATAACTTGAGGAGAATGCTCCAGATAATTCCTTTCCTAATTAAGAGGCAAGCTTTTAGGCAGCACACCCTTGTCGAGCTGGAAGGCTAGTGAAAGTAGTAATTGTTGACCTGTACAACTGGCGTATGTGCAAATAGCTACAACTGACATGCTACTGGCTGGCTGGTTTCTTAAAATCTTTCTGTTTGAGTTGTGCATGACAACAATTGAAAATAAGGGTCCTGAGCAACCAAGATATAAATGATGTAGCATACTCAGCATTAACAACTGATACTCTTTTGCAAAATTTATTCAAAGAAAAACAAATTAATATATCCTCACCTGAAAACCAAAGTGCAGTAATGTTTCCACCGAAAGTCACAACATGGATGAGGAGGTGTGTGTTACGATCCTTCAGGTGGAAACCTTGTCCAAACTTTTTTCTTCGGATCAAACGCCGCAACTTTCAAATCAAGTGAGGTATCAATAGCTTGCTTACCAACAGCATATCTATGTCCACATATCAAAGAACAAAGCAAGTTATAAAATTATAACAATCTCAGAAAAAAATACAAAATAATCAATGTTCAAACATCAAAGCTCAATTGATTGAATTAGCATCTCAAACTTAGTTCATGCCTCAGTTTTCTGTGAATAATATTTTTGGCAGCATTGCATCAATATTATGAAAAATTGGCCTCTAGGTTGAAACTCGGTGATAGGAAGTACTTGAGTTCGCAAGTAACCACAATGGTAATACTCGAGTTCACAAGCAAACCAATCAAGAATTGGCAAAAACAGTGAGAAAAATGGCTGATTCCAAGGAGAAATCAGCATGAACAATGCAAGAATTTTCGTAGATGAGAGAAGAAACACCAATGAAACTCTTTGATTCAAATAACAACAAAGAGAAACAAAGCAAGATACAATTTCCTTCAAATCGAGAGGAAGGAAAACTCTCCACAATCTCTAGCAAAGCTTAGATCCCCAAATCATACCCTAGATCTCAAGAATTTCAGCAAAATTTCAAGATGCCCTAACCCTAACCTCCCCAAGACTAATTAAAGCTAAAGGAAGTTTACAAATACCTAAACATCCCCTCTCATTTAAATTTCCCTCCTAATTACTATTTAAAAACAGCAATTGGGACCCATGAGACCCCCACCCCCCTTCTAGGTTCCGCACGCTTGGAGTTCGCCTGCGATACACTTGAACCAGTCCTTACTGAACCGGTTCAGCCGGCCCCTCCAAAACTAGGTACCATTGTTCTCGTTTCAAACTAATATATAACAACTAGATAAATGTCATACTCTCAAGATAAATTAATAGGGTCAATAATAATAATAATGGGTTCTTTAGGATTGGGTTAGTAGGTTATAATGAGTATGATACTCCATACGTAAGTAATGGGCATTAGATAGTTAATAGGTGACTAATGGGTCATAGGAATCCTTGTAATTTTATAAATGCTCTCCATCATGAAGTATTAAAATATCAATCAATGAAATAAAATAGCAAGTTCTCTTATAATCCTAGTTCTTTCTCCCCACTCCCAATTTTTTAAGTTGTAGGTATCCTCAAATCTGATATTTATCATGCATATCAATGGCACTCGTGTTCAACTTTCATGTGCTCGGCCTCATCTCCCTCCTAATTGATGCTAGATCCATCCACATCTTCCCCGCTCCATCTCTTCAGCCTATTCCAAATACTGCTTATAATAAAAAATAAAAAAATAAATAAATAAGATCTCAACCTCATTAATTTCATTGTATTGTTTCCATCTTATTCATGGACAAACCCTTCATAGGCGCTCTTAGGTCCAATCCACCACCAAACCATGTCCAAATTTCACGCTCGTCATAACTTTTGGCCTATCATGATCTCGTCTGCACTCCTAACTAATGCATCACTCCATGAGCACTGAAGCCTCACTGTCAGTTCCAATGTGACGAAACCCATATCTATCTTCCCCATCTTGGGGGCTTCATGATTTGCTCATCCTCGAGCTATTCTACAAACGACTTACTTGATTTTCCATGTCCTAGCCTCCACCTCGCCCCTAACCGTGTCGATGACCCAAATGTATAAACCCCAAGCCACAATTACATTAGTTGGCCACTTGCGCATCTCTCGCACTGAATCTCATGACTTTTACCTCCCATCCCTTTGTTGACGCCCTTTTAAGATTCAACCAAACCTAACAGCACTTCATTTATATATGGTTTATTCGAACTTAAGGGCAAGTTTGATTTTGAAGGGGCGCATAGTTATAAGGTTAATAATGGGTGACTTTTGATTGGGTAAGTCAATCATTATAGTCATGATAATTCGTAAGTAAATAGTGGTATTAGGTAATTAATAGGTGTTTCATGAGTTCAAAGAAGTCTTTCTAATTCTATAAAAACTCTATGTTAAGGAGTATCGAGCATCAATCAATGAAATAAAAAAGCCTCTTCTCGTAAGATTATAGTTCCTTATTCACCCCTCCTAAGTTTTGGAGTTGCAAGCTTCCTCAAATTTCATTTATTGTGATCCTTGCAATTTGTTTGTATGATAAATATACACACAAAAGTGGGACCACATTAACATTCATAAATGTGGTCAAATTAAAATTTGACAATTAATGATATAAAAAAAATTTTTCATAACTAAAAAAGAAATCTTATGCCGATATCAAACACCTTATAAAATATCTTGTACATGAGCTAAAAGATCTCGTATCAAATACAAGTAAGGATGGATCAAAACAGATATATTTGGATAAAAGATCTTAGTTTGAGAACAAATAATATATCTAATAAAATTTATATTCAATAAGTCTTTATATTTAAACAAAACATTTTTTGTTTGAATTAAATATCTTATTTTTTAATAAAACATCCACTTATTCTAAAGTTTTAGAGAGATAATTTAAAAATCACTTGATGGTAATTAATGTAGCTTTATTTTAATTATAAATCTATTTGAAGAATGAAACATCACTCTATGAAGCATACTTGATCCCTACCCTAACTGAAGATTGAGCATGAGCTCATAATTCTTGTGCCCTCTCGAGATAGTTTCCCCTTGTTTCTTCATATTCTTAGCAACCCACCTAATTCTCTGGGGACTTTTATTCGTTCTCGATGCCACCGATGTCTCTCCACCTATGCTCGTCATCTTATTTGCATCTGATAAAAACTCCCTTACCTCATATTTTCTTGTTGATATGATCCCCTCATTCCCATCATCATCAGATTCCCAAAGCAGCATCCTATCAAACCCTGCCATCCTATTCATCATCGCATGTCCATCTGGTTGCCTCGTCATCATCGTTGTTGTGGACGCATCTACTAATCTATACCTCCCTGGCATCACCTTAATGGGCATCGTTGATCTCCATAGTGCCTGCCTTTGTAAGAAATCTGCCTCAACCCCTATCCAGTTGAGTGTCTTCTCAGAGGGGAGGATTGAAATTGTTTCAACTGGGGAAATATGACACTCGACAAGTTCATTGGCAATCGACTCACGAGGATCACGGGCCACTGGAGTGGATACTGACACTGAGGAGAAGTTAACCCCCTTCTGCTGCCTAACACCAATGCTTGTCCATATCCCAATATATAAACTCCCATCAGCCCACCTGAAGAAAAAAAAATGAATTATTAGTTCTTGTAAAAGAGATTCAGATACTATTTATTTACCATAGTGCAATTATCCATTCTAATTATCGAATTCACTTTGGATGGTTAAGATTTTAACTTTTTTCAAAACTAGAGTAATTTTAAAACTTTGGATAGTATTAATCTCAATCATCCAAAGCACATTGGATGACATGGATGGTTCACTGCACAAGGTAAATTCATTATGATAGTTATAGAAAATCTAATTCTTATAAAAAAGTATTAAGTAATTATGCAAATTTCAACTCCCTCAATATAAAAAAACATTTGAATTGTTTTTCAAAATAGCAACTCTACCACTCCCTCACATTTGGACTGTCTGAATTGGACTCAATACCTCGAGAACAAATATTTATAAAGTGCTACACAATACCCTTTCTCCTACAACAAGAAAGAGATAGAGAAATAGAAAAACAATAATGTAATAGTGACAACCATCAAACTTTTTTATCTTTTACTCTCTCGTATTACTCATTGGATCATACATATATAATTTTTTCGTCATAGAAATAGTCATGAGAAATACAATATACCTATTCACAAAAAGCATAATATTTTTCCATAATTAATAAGAGGACCAATTTTTTCTTACAAAAATTAATAATTTAAGTGTTGTCTTATAATGCAAGAAAACTTATATTTTAATTTTTTTAGAATCAACTTCTAGGTTATATGGAACAATGAATTATCTTGCAATTTTATATAAGCATATTATAGTTCATATAAATTGTCTTGTCCTTTATGAAGAATTGCCGTGTACTCCTCATCAATTCTTTAATGTGACTCAAGGTATTAAAAATAAATTTCTGTTTAGATGTCACAACAATTTTTATTTCAATTGTTTCTTTGATTTTGCAATTCAATTTTGGATTTAATTTCACTTATTCTTTATTATTATATATTTCTAAAAATATGCAAAAACATATTTAATTGGGGCCTAAATTATACCATATAAAATCTAGTAGGACTACCGTGACAATATTCTAAAAAAGCTTCGCTTATGCTCGAAAGGTTTAGCTAAGTTTCAATAAAAAATTATAAATTTGGGGTGATAACTATTGATTTTTGACC